AGGGGGGCCTACAAGAAAGCTAGGGAGAGATTTTTTACAATATTGGGTAGTGACAGGACTAGGGGGCATGGGGCAAAGCTGGAAGTGGGCAGATTCCGGCTGGATGTGAGGAAGAAGTTCTTCCCCATGAGAGCGGTGAGACCCTGGAATGGGTTGCCCCGGGAGGTGGTTGAGGCCCCATCCCTGGGGGGCTTTAAGGCCAGGCTGGATGAGGCTCTGGGCAGCCTGATCTAGTGGGAGGTGTCCCTGCTCATGGCAGAGGGGTTGGAACTGGGTGATCCTTGTGGTCCCTTCCAGCACTGACAGATTCTGATCTGTTTTAACAGAGGACTTTAGAGCCCTAACGGCTCAATAGTTGGACTTGATAATCTTAAAGGTCTCTTCCAACCTAAAGGATTCTATGATTCTATGTAGTCTGGACTTGCAGCACAAGCCTAGCTCATCCCTCCACTCAGTGAGCAAGATGCTCATCTGTGTTGTTCAAACAACAGCTTAGTGTTATGGTTTATGAAATATGGTGTGTTCTTCCAACCTGCTACACCAAACACAGTGAAATCCAAGCAAAGATGAAGAGCTGCACATCTATTGCAAATGAAATTAAGTGAAATATCAAATGAAGTAGAAACTCCCCCTCCTCCTCCTTTTCCTTAAAACTCAAAAGTGTCTGACTTGCATTTTTATCTGTGCAATACTAAGATGCTATTTTAACACTAAACTAAACTGGAAGAAGGGAGAAAAAAGTAGAGAACAAGGTCTATCAGATTATATGCAGTTACTGTGTCCTTGCTGTAGAAGTCAAAGCAAGGGGCTATAACCAAAGGAAAAGCATGCTTTTGCTCATCTCCCAGCAAAAGTACTCCTCCTTCGTATTTACTTTTACATTGAATAATAGCGTGTCAGGGTTCAAAACACTGCGGCAGATGTGAAATTTCAGACAGCTACTACAAACACCATTCTTAAATCTATTTGCATCTTTCTTTCCAATACAGTAAAAAAAAGTCTTTTGAACAACCTTAACTATCACTTCTCTCTAGAAAAAGAGTCCAGGTGATCTCCCTGTTCCTTGGGAATGTCTCGGTGAGGCAATACTGACCTTCTCCCTGAGTGACAGGCACTCAGCCCAGCCAGACACCTCCCAACAGCTGGGCATGCATCTCCCCTGCCCCAAACTTGAAGGCTTGGCTCTGACTAGTGACATTAGGGGTCTGGTGTATTTTCCACAACACGCTTCAGGTAAGTTTTCTTTTGGGAAACTATAGCAGAGGAAGCAGAATGTGCAAATCTAAAAATACATAGTACATTTGTTATCATCCTACTGTAAGGCTAAGTGCCCAAAAGTGAGCAAGTAAACACTGAAAGCCCCTAAACCACACATGTGTTTTTTTGGATGCACATTACATCTCCAGATATTTGTCAAGCCCTTGCTTAAAACAAATCTTACCAGATCAAAAATCCCAACCAAACGCACGCTCCAGCGTGCTTTTTCCCAGCAAAGCTTTTGAAATACTAAAAGGATTAAGTAATGACCTAATTTTTGAGTAATGCAAAAGCCCCCAAATTAGTAGTAACTGACTTTTCAATTCTTCTCTTAAGAAGCTAATGCATTATTTGCAACGCAGCTGAAGTTTCTCTTTTCAGAGAATTACTTCAAGCAAGCAGAGTCCCTTTAAACAGTGTATGACCTCCAAATGGTCCAGACATTACAACATATTCTGTCACTGGTACCAAAAACATTTCATTTTTAAAATTCAATTTAAAAGAGTCTGGATTTTTACTGTCTATTAAAGAAACACTTTCTGAATAATTTTAGGAACCACCTTCTGCACTTAGTGAAAGTAAAGCATTATTTAAATCCGTTCTGTTTGTAATCAGTGCTTCAATGAAAAATGACAACGAGATGAGTGTACTGATGGGAGCTTACATACACCATTGCTGGTGAAAAAGTATTATAGATACAGTATGCATACAATTTGTAGAAACCATTTGAAAAACAAAACAAATGAAATGACAACTAGCATAAAAACGACGTATTACACAGCAGCCTGGCAAATATCAAACATTTAAGAGCAAACTTTTAATTTTACTTTTCTGAACCTTGCAGCAAACAATTTAATACTCTCAAATATCCCAGTAACACCTGTAACACTGCAGCAGGTCTTTCAGAGATTTGCATCACAGGTAAGTTTCAATGACATAAACCAAGTCAAATATTACTACATGCCTTTTTTTTATTTTCAAAGAAATAAAGATATAGCTTTCACTTTAAACGGACTCATTCTAAAGTACTTATTGTGCCTTCAGAAAAGAAAGACAATTAGCTGCTGTTTCATAATGAAAATTAAAAAAAAAATAATAATCACAATACACAACTGCATGAAAACAAAAAGAAGAATGAATACATGTCAACATATCACTGGGAAATAGGGGAACACCACAATTGATGCTGGATTCCTGTCCCAATTCACCCAAAGGTAGTTAATTATATCCAATAGATAACCACTCCATTTTCAAGTCCTCCTCACACAGCACCCCACCTCTGACTTGTTTTAGTTTCTTTTCAGCTTTCACAGACTTTTTCCTATATTTTCCGTATTTTCAAGCTAGTTTTATTTTTCTGCTTGCTTTTCTTGGAGACTGTTGCCCCGTTTTCCTTCCCAGACTACCCAGTAATTACAAAGCTCAACAATAAAATTGAGAAATAAAAAAAAAGAAAACCAAAAACAAAGCACACCAACAAAAACCTATGGCTGAATATCATGAAGTTATTTATAATTTTCCCAAGTCAAACAGCGAAATGTACTTTTTAAAACTATCTATCACAGGCTCTTCTCATCAGACATTTCTGAAATCATCTTTCACCTGTAAACTCCCAAAAGCTTCAACCATAAACAGTGGTTTAGATCCACAAGAATTCTAGCTTTTAAAAACTATTGTGGCATCATTACCAGGGCAGGGTGTAAGGGATACATAAAGGTCAGCAGAGAATGTGTGGAAGTTGAGGGCTTCATGACACCAAGATACAGTTAAGACTAGAGAATTTACTGGGGTTCTGGAGAGACACTAAAATGCATTTTGGAGCTTGAAGCATTTTGATCTAGACATCTCTCAGGTATTACAAGAGCTATTCATCTATCCTCAAACTTAAAATCTTAACAAGTTCACTATGCACCATGAACACCAGAAGCAGCACAAGGCTGGTGCTTCAGGAGATTTGCTCTTCATTATTCAAGAAACCTTTTTACTTTTTTTTTTTTTTTTTTTTTTTTTCCCCTCTCACACAGCGAATGTATTTTCAGCACAGCAAGTTATTAGATCAATGGTATTTCCCTTTGTTTACTCTAGTAATTAAAATGCACCAACATGAAACTGTTTCTCTCAGCAGGTTTGACCTTAAGAAGGTCTCACTAGATATTCAAGTTCTCTTTGACAATTATCAGCTGCCATCCAGCGCATTAGCCACTGGTCAGCATTCATCAAGAGAACACAACCAACAGAGCTAAACTCTTCTCTTTCCTCAATATATTTCTAAAATAAAAAAAAAAAAAACAAAAAAAAACCACAAAGTTTTGTGGTTTTTTGCTTATTTAGTGAGTGGGTTTTGTTCCTTTTCAGGTTAACAGCTCATTTCGCTCATTTCTTTACAAACAGTGGCATCAAGCAGCCAACTTTGGAATAGAAACCATTGCTTAGAACATCTTTGAGAAGTTTCCTTTGTTATTCAGCACTTTAGATAGGAGTGATAAAGACCAACTTAAAAGTCTTCCTCAATTCATTATCTTCAGGAATATTGATTCCTAGATGAGACCATGCTCACCATTCAATGAGCACTGCTGATTCTTATTAGTATCTATGATATCTAGGCTAGCTGTGAGAAAAGTGGGACACAGGAGGAGGGATGGGAAGAATAGGGGACATGCAAGAAAAATAACAGAAGTAACAGGCAATGAGGACAGAGATATAAAACTACTTTGGAGCGTTATCACCTAAAATAAGTGGCCCTCCATGAACACTCTGGCCAGCATCCATGTTTTCCAGTCATTTTTTATGGATTCAGAGCAGCACACCTTAGGCTTCATCCTCAGACCAACAAAACAGAAAACGGATTCCTCCATGAGCAGCATGTACTGCAGATTGCATAGAGAAGTGCTGACACGAAACAGCAGTGTGTGTCTATTACTTAAAAACTTCTAAGAAAATTACTTTCAAGTTGGCAGCTTTAGAGTATTCCTGGGAAAAGATAGGGTTGTCAAATAATTGGTCACACCTACTAAAATAAGTGTGGTTAAAATACAAACACAACATTAGATTCACTTGTTCATGAAACTCAAAACATACTGAATCACTGAATCAAAATTTCAGGTTTGCTAGCCTCCAGAAAAGTAAATAACAAAACATATTTAAATAAGCAGGCCCAAACAACATGCAATAGTAAGTTTTTTGTGCATGTTCTGCACATACTTACAGGTTGAGCAGACTAGCAGTGTTCTCACCATCAGCTCACAGAGTAACTTCCACTTCTGCTGCACTTTGGAGGTGACAGCTGGAATGAGGATCTCTGCAGGCACGTAGTACTGAATCGAATAGGTCACAAAAATCCCAAAGGAGTACAGAATTTTTACAGACTGATACAACCTGTTCAAAACAGTTACACATGTTCACATCAGTTGGAAACTTTTAATTAAAAAAAACCCAGCTTGCTAATTTGTTTTCCTTTAAAAAAATTTCTATCATATGACATTTGAGAAATCACTAATATTTAAGCAAGTGAATACCCATTTTTATTTAGATACAAATTCCTTACCTCCTACGTATATCCAGATTATTTAACAAGCTATAAGGCCTATTAAAACATAACTTGTTCAGCATTTTTTTTTCCTACTTTCTTTTCCTTCACTTCAAGATTTACAAAAATCCCTACAGTTGTTAACTAAAAAGCCAAGTGAAGTGACTATAATTCTTTTCCCTAATACTATTTTTGGTTAACAACAGTGGTTTTTTTTTCTAAACTTGTAAATCAAAAAGCACACAGTAAATCTAACAACTCCCTCCAAACAGAAGGAAGATGTAGACTCTCAATTATCCCAGTCTCTCCACAAACTGCAGTTCTGTGCCTACAGGCTTGCTTTGAGCCAGGATGTGATTTACAGTCCTTAAGTAGTAGGCTGAGAGCCGCAATGACAGAAAGTGGCCACAACTCATTTCAAGAGACAAGACACAGTCACTGATCAGCAACATACTAATTATATTAATTCATTACACTAACAGGATTTACAGTACTAATAAAAACCATTTTACGTGTACAGGATTTCATCCCTTTCTTGCCAAATTATTTTGTAAACAGAGAAGCTGCAATAATGGGCAAAACAATGTAACAGAGGTATTTTAATGTGTGGGTAAACAAAAATCCAAGCAATCCTGCTTGTGTTTCTTACTAAAGATGAAAACTCATCATACTGATCATGCACTATCATTTTGACAATCAATCTCTGATTGATCAAACGTGAAATGGAGTATCAGGTGTTAACACAATTAAAAAAAAAAAACAACCACAATTTAGTAACATAAGCATTAATAGAAAAATAAAGATCTATTTGTACATGAACAGCTGTAATTGTGGTCTAAACAATGAGGTCTCTATTTAAAAGCAGTGAAGTGATTTTCTGTAAGAAAATCCTAGAGAAAACTTTTTTTTCCAGACAGCTTTTATGTCCCTCCAGCATCTCAATTATTGCTTCTAAAACTGTATTCACCCAGGAAGACCACAGTTCCAGTTTTCAGAGCCACTTTTTTAGAGAAAACTGTTACACAGATTATGTTCTAGTCTGTTTCAAGACCTTGCTATGAAGTTCTCCAACAGAATAAAAAGAGGTGCAAAAACAAGTAACACTTAAAGTGATGATGATCACAATAAACTGAAGGAAAAGCATAAAAAAAATGCAATGCGTGGGATATTTTCATAAGTGGTAGCAGGATTCTGCCGGATGCTCAAAGCATCATTATGGCCACATGGCACTAAGGTTATGTATGTATATATAAAATAACAGTAAACAAAAAGATAACACTATCTGCTTGCAACAGTTATAAGTTAACAGTTATTCCACCCTGCATGTCACCAAAGTATAGATTAAAATATTCAGGACATACAGTATAGTGGACAGCTTCGTTATAACAATATAAATTTAAGCTGCATTTAACTTCTTTCTGCCTAAATTGGTTCAAAATACTCTACTATTCCAAAAATGTTAACTGACTTCAGATCATGCAGCTTTAATCTTTATGTATTTTTTTTCAGACCTGTGCAGAACTAGAAATCCCTGTCCTGTTAGTGAAGGAAAAGGTTATCAGCATTTATCAGAAGAAAGCATCACATCAAAGATGAAGACAAAAATCAAGGAAAACAGTTCAAATCTACCCTCACATAAAAAAATATCTCAGTGGGAAATACAACAAAAGGAGCTGTGAGGTGTGGTATAAAATAAGGAATATAAAAATATGCCTGCGTAGATTGGCAGCCTAACTTCTATATTGTCTGGACTTAGGCATCTTGTTCCTTACATATACTGGAAAATAGCCACATATTGGCACTGTCTTGACAAATTTTAGATAACAGATACTTTTTTTTTCAAGAGTTAAGGTTTTTTAGATATCATGCTCATGCTGACTTAAAACAGGGAAATCCACTGCTACTTGGTTGTAGGATTATTTTTCTTTCATAATCTGAAGGTTTGCCTACATCTCTTCTAAACAAAATATTTACTCCAAGAAATGTACACAGAGAATTTAGTTTCACAATTTTTATTAAGTTCTCCAAAAACTAGCGTAAATCTTCCAAAAAGAAGTGTGGAGCCTCTTCCCACTGTTACTTGTGGCTGAATAAACAAGTGACAAACAATAGTTTTAAATTTAGATGCATTTTTAATCCATGCTGCATAAACTAGAAGCATTTGTCACATTCTAGCCAACAGGTAGAAGCTACGAGTCCTTTGGTATGATTTTCTAAGAATGCAACTAAGAACACAATCAAGGCTTTCAGGTAAAGTTCTGGTTCATGAGTCATGGGGGGTTGCATGTTCACAAATGAGAGAGGAACTATTTCTCAACAATAACCTTTGATAACGGAAGACAATGCTGAGCATACTTTTTTTGGCTTCACTCCTTAAGACATTCAACTGAAACCACAAAGGAGAGGCAACTTATAACAGTAAGAAAAGAAAAACCAGTGGCACGAGTAGAGAAGGAACAAACTGGACCCTTGTCTCCACTTCTCCCAAACCCTGGTAGAGGTCCCTCAAGACATACTCCTTCTGAGTATCAGTATCTGCATGAGTAAGATCTGGTCAGGACTACTTTTAGCCCCTCATCCTGTGGCCAAATGGCATGGCATGGCAAAACTTGAATCAATAATGCTCAGCTCTTTCCCACCACAAAAGGATGCTTCCATCATCCTTCCTTCAGCCTTCTGAAGGAAGTGCTGAACAGAGTCAGTAATTGACTTTGGTACACCACAGTGATCTTGAGCAGAGGAATACAGCTGATAAACTTGAATTGACCTTTCAGCTTGGTCTTACATGCTTCCCATCTCACATCTGCAAGACAGTTCATCAAGTTTTCAATGTTTGAGGATATCAAAACACTGCTAGCAATTGTTTTTTATTAACTGAACACATCTAGAAAGAATTAAAAGTGCATACAAGGGGGGAAAAAGAAAAACACACTTTGACTAACAGGTCCTAAATTATTTGTATGAAAAGGTTGACTGTCACTGTACACAGCTTGATAAAGCCCCAAAGGCATATTCAAAGTGACAGAAAAACTATTACATCACTTCACATGGGGACAAGACAGTGTAGCTAGTTTAGGAGCCACTGCTTTTGTGACACACAAATAAAAGAGGGTCCCATTTCTATAGGTTCTGCATCACTGTCCAGATTCTACACAGTTAGATGGATTTTAACTGGTTAAAAAAAAAGAAAACCTGACCAGCTGTCCCCAATTAGCCATTTATCCTCAGGCTTCAGATCATCCCAAAACTTAAAATTCAAGATTTAAAATTTTGTAATTTTTATTTTAAGGTGAGAATCAAAATCAGCAGTCAAAGCTTTAATTGCACAGTAGTTCAAAGCATCTTCAATACACTTTTTCTAACTCTACAAAGATTCTCATTTTTCAAATTAGGTAACAGTTTTTATATTATTGAAGTGATTTTACCAGTCTGCTGCTATTATATTCTAATGAGAAAAATATGGCTCCTTAGGCTACTTTTTAAAAAATTCTAAATCATTCATAGTGCTAGAAGTTAACAGAAGTCTGCCTTTCTTCAATTTACATTTTATATTTTGCTGTACCTCTTTTAAAGTGAAAAAATTAGGAACTAATGTAGCAAAACTTTTGTATCAATACAGCTAGGGTCAATACAGCGTTAGCTACGCTAAACTGCCTCTTATGGAATATGCTAAAGATTTTGTAAGGTAGTTAATCTTTAGGATTCATAGTAAAGCAGTTGTCGCACAAAGAGTATCACATGTATCTTAACAAAGAACAGACAGCAGAGAGAACCTTAAGCTTCAAGAAAATGAGGCTCCAACCAAGGAAAAAGCAGGGTTTTTTTACAACGAGGATTGTGAGACATTGAAACAGGTTGCACAGAGAAGCTGTGGACTCACCATCATTGTAAATGTTCAAGATCAGGTTGTACAGGGCTTTGAGCAGCCTGATCTAGGGGAAGATGTCCCTGCCCATGGCAGAGTGTTGGACTAGATCATCTTTTAGAGGTCCCTTCTGACCCAAACCAGTCTATGATTCTACGAGACCCCAACCAAGGATTCCACTAAAGTACTCAAGCAGAGACTCCCATAATCTATATTCACAAATGACACAGAACTTAGTTTGAAGTGCTCATCAAGCAACAAAAATTATGTACTTTTTGACTATAAATACGTGCTCGTTCAGGCACATAGAGTTCAGGCAAATTGGCTTCAGTCAGGAAGAACCTCATGATCACAGATAAATCAGGTAAACTATACTCTGCCTGTGTGTCCTCTCCTCAGTCAGCAACAAACTAAGCAAGAAGACTGATATCAGTAGGTACTCTGCATACTTCTGAGGATATGAGAAACAATTATTAAGATATCCAAACAGGTAAACATAACTGCATGTAAAAAAAGAAAAGTTATTTAATCCAATAAAATAGAACTCTTTGATTCCAGAAAGAAGTTGTTAAAGATCAGGGGGAAAAAAAAAAAAAAAAGCTGAAAACTACTTTCTTTTCAAAAAGCAAGTTTTCCACATAATCTAATTAATGTATTATGCTTACCAATGGTTTGTGTACCAAAACACATTCCAAACAAGGACTGCAACAAATCTCTTCTCCAAAAGTCCAAAAGGTACAATCTAGCAGAATATTTTTAGAATATAAACAGTCCTCTATTTAAATTAAACTTAAGAACTTAACTGGTCTAGGGCCTGTGACCACCCTTCTGGCCAATTCATCTGCAAGAACAACAAACGAAACTCAAAGGAGCAGAATTTCAATCTTCTTTACCAGGAAAGGTTTATTTTTAAGACAAGGTTTGTCCAGCTGGAATTCAACATGTAAGCCAAGTCTCACTGCTTAGCTGGGGTGTTTCACATGACTGCTTGTTTATGGAAACTCACGTCGTTCCTTGCCCTTCTCTGCTTCATTTGGCCGCTTGCTGGCTTTTTTATGTGAGGACCAAATAACAAAATGTTGTCATATGGTTCACTGGAAATTTGTATTGCTAGCAGTTAACTGCACAGATTTGCTTATCAGCACTGTATCAGGTACCCACAGTACTGCACAGCAACAGCATCGTACCCCACAGCCCATGGGTGCACCACTGAGATGTTCCCCTAATTCTGTTTGGTGCCCTGGGATGCTACCCAGGGTACGATGAAAACAGATGACTTTGTTATCTCTGCGTGTGTGCCCTGAGCAGCTCTGGGGTTATTAAACTTATAATGCCAATTCTCCATCTTACAGAATGCCAGTTTCCATCTTTTTTATTACCTCTGTCTTTGCATTAGGTCTGTAAAGCCATCAGGGTAAGTATCACCTTATCACCACTTCTGCACTGTAGCCAAGAGCTATCTGGAAACTCTTATTTGAACAGCCCTGTTACACAGCGGGGCTGCAGAATAAAGCAGAATATTACAGCAGAATAAAGTTCATCCTGTTCCTTGCATAAGCACAATAAAAAGCAACAGCATAGGGAACCTTACCTATATTCCACATTCCTCTCCCTCCTCTTTTAAGAGCACTTCTCTTAATGCACAAATAAACCCAGATCTACCATTTAAAACCAACTTCAATAATCACATCAGCAATGAGCAATACAACATAATATTATCAACAGAAGTATTTTCCCTTTCAGATGAATATAGAGAGAAATGGAAAGTGTTTGAAGAATTCTGAGGTTTTTAATATCTATGTTGTGTCCAACAAAAGGACACAATTTTATACTTATGAACAATAAGGCCCCAAAACTAAAACCAAAAAAAAAAAAAAACCACAGAGACATGAAAATTCTTTAAAGAAAAAATTAATCCTTAATTTTATTATAATTTCATGCGTTTGTCATTGGAATCAGTCAGGAAATTAAACAAAACTTCTAAAGAATATTGAAAACAGCTCATGCTGACTCAAAGGAATGAAAATGCAAAAACAAATGCAAAAATAACACTTGAAAATTAAGAACACTCTTTAAATGTGTTCTTCTCTTGAAAAAGAGAAAAAAGGAGTCAGTATTTAGTTCAACAATGCAGTTTTAGTTTCATGTATCTTGAGATTTCACTACTTCAGTATGCTACCACAACATACATCAAAAAACAAGTAGATGTAAGCATATAACATGTAAGACATTATTTAACAAGAATGAAAATATTAAAATACTTTTAAGATTTTACACTTGTGCACTGCTGATATACCTAATTTTAGGTATATAGATAAATATATACATAAAGGTACTAAAAAAACCCCTAAGCATTATATTTAAATTAGTAGTTACAGTATGTATCCATCCATTGATAGATACAGAAGTAAAAATGCATCAGTTGAAACAGTGCTTGCTGCATCATCAGCACATGACACAGGGAGTTCTCGCAGCATTAAAAAAAACAGCTGAATAAAAAGCACAATACCCCACAGGCACTGGCAAGCAAAAGGCTCATTTTCCTGATAGGAAGCCATTGTTATGCATTATCCATGGATTTGCATCTCAGCTACAAACCTATTCCCTTTTGCTGCCTTCTATTCCAGCTGTTCACCTGCTTAAGTCAGTGAGTCTCCTGCAAAGGGCCACTATATTACCAGGATAGCCAAGTTAAAAGTAGCTGATTTCAGAATTGCAATACATCTGGTTGCAGAATGAATACTGTGGGAACTAGCTCCTGCTGGAGATGGAACGCTTCACTAGAAAGATCATTAATCTGGCTCCATACGCAATTCCTTTCAATAAGCAAGAAATTGCTGAGTAGGATCATAACACAACTTCCAAAGGCACAGATATACTATATGCAGTCTAATTTTAAAAGAGTTCAAGCACCTATCAACCATGACTGCACTGATGCAAGGAACAACCTTTACAGTCTTTTTGCCTTTTAGATCACTGGTTTCCACTTACCATATATCTTGTGGCAGGTTTAAAGTTATGCTGGCTTTGATTTCGTCCCCGAAGCGTAGATACCCCAGAGTGGCTAATGAGATATACAAGGTCATGACTATTCCCATGCCAACGTTCAGAGCCTGTGGGAAACGTGTTGTGTCCTTCATTCTGTTTTGCAATGGGAGCACCTGAAAATACAGGAAGAATCAATTGCATACAGTAAAAGTATTTTTCTTCCCCACTTTCAAAGCCAATTTTCAAAATTTAGGTGATTTTATTAAGAAATAAGATTACAATAATGTTTTACAGCCTAGAAGCTCACAATGTTTTTACGCACCTAAGAGAAACATTCAATTACCGAAAAGTAATTGAAAATTGAAAAATCTTGGTTGGAAAATAGCATCAGTGTGGAAATTCAAAGCAATATATATAGCTTAGAAAAACTGACAATAGAAACTTACAGTGCTCAGATAAAAACTAATAGGTAGCATGAATTTTTCCGTAACAGAACTGTGCAGAGTCATAGAATTATTTGAGTTGAAAAACACCTTAAAGATCACCTGGGTCAAACTCCCCTGCTATGCGCAGGGACACCTCCCACTGTGCAAAACCCCATCCAACCTGGTCTTGAACACCCCCAGTGATGGAACATCCACAGCTTTCCTGGGCAACCTGTGCCAGTGTCTGACCACCCTCAGAGTGAAGAACTTCTTCCTTACATCTAATCTAAATCTCTTTCTTCCAGTTTGAACCCATTACCCCTCATCCTAATACTACAAGCCCTTAAAGGGTTATTCTATTTTTTTAAGAATATTTTTATTAGGTATACCTATATTGTCAGGTCTCTGCCACAGAGAAACCTACCATGCACATGGCTGACAAATAAACTCATGCTCAGCAGTCAGTCTCAGCTCTCCCCAAGCAGAAGGAAGTTTGAGTCCATGACTACTAGAAAGGTACCCATATTCTTTTCCATTTTGCTGGCAGAGATAAGGCCAGGCACATTAAGCATCATTTTCCTAAATGTAGTGTATTTGATCTGAGCCTGAACCACAGCCAAGTGAGCTTGCTGGGTTTGCCACCACTTCGGAGTGAAGACACAGGCATTACAACCATTACAGCATGCAGTCTGCTGAAGAGATTGCCTTCTACATGTACTGTACCATGTACAGGAAAATATCATTAACAAGTTCCAACTTAAATTTTCAGCCATCAAGACAAAATTTCTAGGCAAAGCAGGAAATCCAACTAACGAGCTCACATGCTGCTTTTCTCACCCTGAGTTTCATCAGCATAACAGAATCTTTTATGTCTTCATTAAGACACAAACTGAAGGTATGTCGATGTTACTAGACAACTATACTTTCCCCATGTCTTTCAGAAGAACTGTATATTCATCTTAGATACTCAATGTGGAATATAGTTCAAGATGAAAACACCTAATTTTGTACTCCAACATATAAGTAGAATGTCTAAGTTTCCATAAGGAAGATTGATAACAAAGAGCTAGTCAATATAGTCCGTGGAATAAAGATCATATTTCAGCCTATCTTCCAGCAGACATGCAGGTTCTATTTCATTATCAGTATGGCACTATAATTAAAGCTTGTTGTCTCTGGGTAGCACACATCAAATCTGAGGCAAAACAGTGCAACAAGGCTGCCCTGTATAAGCTACTGTCCATCATACAAATTTGCTTTTTGACTATTGAGTGTTTTCAATTTAACCAATATAAGTTATGAAAGCAGCAGATTTCATCCACTAATTAGCAAATTGGTATATTTGAATTCCTGCCGTATTATTTTCTACAGGGCAATCATTCCTTTCTTCCTGCTCACCCACTGATAATCACTTCCTGACCTACTATTGAGTATCTCCACTGTCAATCTAGACCACATTGTTATATTTCTCCTATACTACAAATCCCGAAGAAGTCATTTTATACTTGGGAACAAAGAGATCTCTAAAAAGATATACATTTAGGAAGCATTTCCAAATTTCATTCATTTTCAGTTAAAATACATGGTAATTCAGAGCTGACATTTTTCCTCCAGAAAGCAATCCAAACTCGGAATGTGACTTAATCCAGTGGAGAACAGGAAGAGTTTCAAAATTTAAAACAATTTTTAACTGACAGCGTTGAGCAGCAGAAAAAATACAAAAGGAGACGTGGCTAGAAATATTACTGCCACACAGACAAAATATGTTCATTTCTCTAAATTAATTAAGCTTCTGTGTCTATACAGCACCTATACTTTCCTTCATCTGATTTTTCACATTTTGTGCTTCCTACAAACAGATAGCATTTGGACCTGGACCAGTAATAGAAACACTCGTTCACCGTGTATCTGTTAATTCTCTGGTGACTATAAATGGCAGGTATTTTCTGCATAAGCTCTGCCATGTTCACAGCTTCCAGGAATCTTAACAAGCATAAACTGTTCCAGTAAGATCCTGCTCCAAACTACATCATCTCTGCAGAGCGTTAATGGCAATTGCTTGCCCAGCTTACAGATATCGGGAGTCTCAGTAAGTTCACTGGCCCAGAGATTTGATTTCCAGAGTCTCCATCATTCACTTCTTACATTCCTGGCAGGAGGAGGGCAGTGAACTCGGACACACATGCCAGACATAAAAATAATCTTACATTTTCCCACCATGGCTCCCAGCAGGAAAGGGAGCCTGGAGACTGCCTGTGCCTCTGAAATTGTATAACCAATCTGCAGGGAACTACTAATGGGCAAAAAAAGTTCCTGTGGTTTCACAGTCAGAGGCAGCTGACGTGAAAGACTACACGGCTGCTCATTATGATGCCTTCTTTCAGACAAAAAACCACTCTGCAGCCTATTCATAAAAATGCAGAAGATAAAAACTTCATACTTTTTGGCTACATCTTCAACAGAAACGGAAAATTACGTATCTATGACAAACACTGGTATGGTCATCCTGAAAGAAATTCATTAAATTATGTTGGGAAACTGCACCTGGATACCACATCCAGTTTTGGTCACCCAGTAGAAGATAGACACTGACACGTAGGGGAAGTTGAGCTGCAGGCCATCAAGGTGGCTAGCATACTGAGTGCATGGGAGGCTGAGACCCGAGTTAACTCATGCTGAAGAGAGGCTGGGGCAAGGAATCTCCTTGAAGTCTTCAGCTAGCCAGAGGAAGACAGAGCTTGCAGAGAAGACCAAGCCAATTTCAAAGAGGTGCACTGTCAAAAGAATGAGAAGCAACCAAGGAAAACAAAGGACCAGCGACACATACTGTGTTTAATGTGCTTGACTGAAGAGGAATCATCCAAATGTTGTTTTTTTTTTTTAAATTGCTACCTGTACAGGACCTACCTGTACAGCATCTACAGGATGCTAATGCAGCCTTTCCTGCATCACTCAGTCCAGGTGAGAGTGTCCCGTTCCAGCCTCAGTGGCAAGCCTTCCCAGGTTCAGGCGCTCTCTCCAAGCACCAGCAGGTGTGTCAAGCCAGTTGCTACCGCTGCAGGAGATGCTTCCCTTGACAGAACTGATCCTCAAAGAAATTATGCAAGGAACCTGAGCCAGATTTTATACAGTATCCAGCATCATCTACTCCAAACAAGAGGCTGACAGGAGGTACCATGTGAGTCAGTACTGCTTCTGACACTAATTCAATTTTGGGTAGCTGCTGGAAAGATTTTTCACTCTAAATTTCTTTCTAGTCCCTGTTGCAATGACTTCGGGAAACCTAACATTTCAACTGAATGCAAGAGAGATAGGGTTCTTTTCACAAATGCTTTTTAGTTCTCATTTTATTGCTTCCTTTTTGGAACACTGAAGTTGATCACGCTTCCTTGTCCTTTTTTTCTGGAACCAGAAATTAATTTCACTCTTCAATTCTTCTAAATTATTTTCTAAAAAAGATAACACCCTACCTAGATGATTGAATAGCTTTGTGAGGAAAAGATAACAACCTACCTAGATGATTGAATAGCTTTGCGAGGAAAAAAAAAAAGCCATGCTTACTTGCATCATACTATCTCTCAAAAGAGATCCTGTGTCAGTTCAGTACCCCACACTAAAGGCTCCAACGTCGCTCGGCTCGTGCTCAAACAACCATTTCTGCTACAACAGGCAGTGTCGTTTCTTTAGCCTAATGCCTCCCACACTCTTCAGACTGATAACCTACTGCCACGTATACAACCACTGCACAACCTAGCGATAGCAAGTACTATGGTCAGGGAAAACTAGAATATTGGAGACACAAGAACCATGAGATTCATGAGACAAGTTTCAGCTTCAAAGATCTTTTTTTAACTTTTATAAAATCTGATTTTATACAAAACTGGTCCTTCCCATAATTTTTCTTTTTCCATAATTTCTGTCCCTTTTCTTTTACTCTGTCACCTGCTTCACAGAGTTCTTCCTATCGTTTTTGAGACACTGGCATATGCCACTACTCTTCTCTTCCTTGAAACTTAATACTTGGTTCCTGTAGTGACTACGAACCTCTGGTTTCTTAATTTTCAGAACAAGCATAATCCATGTTCCTTTCATCCACCAAAAACACTCAAAAGTACCCATAATTTACTGGCAAAGAGCATAACTGAACCTTTGAAATAACCTGGCTGATCTTCCATCATCTGTTATGAAAAGTATCTTCCTGCTCATTTCAAGCTGCATGAAGTAGGTATAGCACCTCCTAGTAACACCCCAGTCTCCTCATTCCTCGCCTTTAATACCTACTACACTCACTCTTTCTACAGCTAAGCTGAAGGGGGACTGTCTACTTCTAATCAGAAATCTGTATGTTTTATATGACTAGACCAAAAAAACCCACAAGAGAATTCAGCCTCCAAGTAATCAGATAAACTGTGATGTAATTGTCATGGCCACTAAATCCTAATCTTATAAAGGATAACTTAATAGGAGAAATGCTTAATGTTGAAATACGTATGGTCATTTTTCTCTTTTTCAGGAAATACCACTAAGATGGCAAGAATGAAGCAATCATCCATCCCTCACACTTTTAAAATGAGTATTTGACATAGAAGAGAAAGACAGGCAGATGTTTTGATTAGTTTAAGGTACAGACAACTCAAGAATTTATTAAAGTTAAACCAAATATATTTATCAAAGTTTCCTCAGTTAAAAAAAAAAAAAATCTATCTATAATCAGGCCCTACTGCAACAAAACAAAGCTTTGTTCATTC